TGAATACAGCTTTTCTGGAATTACTCTCTAACTGATTGACTTTTTTACTCAGTTCAATTAAATATGGCAGCTGCTGCAAAACCACTGGACTAATTTGCACCATTTGAAATAGTTCAGAAGAACCTTATGTTTGATTTTACACTTTGCAATAAATACTTTTAATGGTCTCATATCTGGAGTGAAAACGATTTTAAAACTAGCCAAAGTTCAAAGGAAAACTTTGAAAAACGATCAAATCTGGTGACGTGGTATGTAAATGCCGCTTTTGATCCTCTCCTCTGATTTGTTCCTAAAAACAGACACACTCAGTAAAAGTTCAGCTGTTGTAGTGTCCCACACCGGTTTGCTGACTCAACTTTTAAAGGTTTAATTTGGCCATTATCTCACAAATGCACACAGAGATGCATCTTACTGCCTCGGGACACGTGGGCAACATAAATTAGCAAGCGATTTAAATGAATAATTGTGTTTTTATTGCACAGATTATGCCCCCTTTCCCCTCACTAGCTGGGCTCTGAGGCCTGGGAAATCTATTAAAGCGATGCCATAGATCATCCCATCGGCGGTGGCGTGCTCGTATGTAGATCGACCAGCTCATTTGAGAAATATCGAATCGGTTTCAGTGAAGTAAGCCCCCCGGATTGAGTCAAATGTAAAAATCCGAGCATGTCAGAGGAGCTGTCAGCGCTGGGCCGCGATGACAGATGGAGCCAGAGCTCTGTTTTAGTGAGGGGTGATAAAAACTCAAATTATGAATGTCGGGGTGGAGGGTGGGGGTGGGACAGGAGACTGTGGGGGGTGAGGACTATTGAACAAGATCTGTCAGCTGATAAGACCAATCGGTTAATTTAGGAAGGTTTGAAAGTGTTATTTCCTCGTGGTGTTGGGTCAGCGAGGGGTCAAGAGTACGACCCCTGACCTCTCGCAAAGGGAGAGTGAGACACCAGTCAGTCGGTTATTGATTAATGCTTTTACTTACTCTTCACTAATCCATTCATTTGCAGTGAAAGCAGTGACATGAATAGCGTTGGTACCTATACAGGGTACTTTTCTTAAATGTTTAGGTTTGCTTTAAAATAGAATAAAATCAGGTTAGAAATGTTTCTACTTAAACAGAAAAAAAATGTTCAATTTAACCAAACTCACAAGATAACCTGGTGAGAACTTAGTTTCATCAATGCCGACTTAATTTGGAGAGGAAGTGGCTGTTGTTGATACCCAAAGTACAAGATCTTTGCTTAGAAAATTCTCATTAATTACCATTTGGAGTCCAATTTCTGTTAGCAAAATGTTTCATGAACCACAGGCTGTGTTTTCAGGAAACCTTTGGAAATGAACCTGGATGTACGCCTACAACTGATTACCTGTTGGAGTCTAAATAAGTCATGGCTGAGTGACATTAGCCAACACAAAACCAGCTAAAGCTCAGTTGTTCAACAGATGTTGAGCTAAATTTGATGTTGTCGTAGCTGAGAGTCATTTACAACACAAGCTCTGTGCGTGACATCTCACATTATTACTGTGTTGTGTGGATTGTTATTTTTGGTGGTTGCAACCCTCTCATTTCTCAACATAAGCTGATTTAAAATTCTGGTATGAATTTAAAATTCTAGTATATGAATGCGGTATGCATTCATTCAAGAAATGTTTTTAGTTGTAGTTATTGTCGGGTTTATGCTTGTATTTCTTTTTTTTTTCAAACATACGAACTGGATCCCGTAACCCAAGAGTGAAACATAACAGAGACAATCTCAAAGTGGTTGTTCTCAGTTATGGTCTCCACTTGTTGATGTCCAAATATAGGACAAAAAAAACTGTAAAATCCTACAAAGAAATTGGTGAAATTATTATGAAATTATTCTGGTAGGCTACCATATGGCATGATTTCTACTTCTCTGCTCTTTCTCTCAGAAACATCACACAAGAGCTGCGAACCCCTTCCTCGCTCTGAAACTGACCAAGGTGCAAACTTCTGTTTAGTTTTTATAAGCCCCGCCCCGCACTGTTTATGACTCTGCAGTTCGATTATGGCAGCTTGGAGAAGGGTAAAGCCACGCGAACATCAAAGAAGCTATGAGAGGAATGCTGGTATTGTTTGTTTTCTCATCCAGAATCAGCAGTGATTTAATCAGAGAAAAAGCCTGGGAACGAGGCTGCGCCGGTGATAGAGGGATGAGTTCATGCAGGAGAGCTTTGGATGGAGGCAGAAAACCAAATAGAAGAGGCCACAGTTTGTTGCAGGATGATGATGTGAAGTGATCCAACAGGATCTGTTTAAAAGTTATTACCTATTAGAGTCAAATTGTTTTAATAGTGGACTAACTACCGGTAATCAATTTTTCAGAAAACATTGATTGGCTGTACATCTTCGAAGAAATACCCTAATTCAAGACAGTTGCCACAGCCAACTGACCTCAGGCAACACAGAAATGGGTGTTTTAAGATAAAACTTGAGGTGGTAGTAGCTGAGCCTCATTTTAAACACATACTGTAGCAGTGCTTCACTGCACAATGCTTTTTCCCAAGCTCTGATTCTTCCCCGTGTTTGACCAATATTATAAGAGGTATTGTAAATGTAATATCTTTGGATCTATGTCTATTAGGCTTTTAATTATTTTATGGTTCAAACAAAAAAACATTTAATTCAAACAGAAATCAAACTAGAAATCTGTTGGAATTTCTGCTTTTGCTTTTTGATTTAAATAATTTAAATGTTCCCATTCAAAATGTCAAGAGCGGATAATCTTTATGAATCTGTTCACGTCTTAAAGCAGCAATATGGAGGGGAAAATTATAATTTTTGCTTATTCCTGAGCATTTTCAAGTATGCCTATATATTGTTGTTCATGTTTGTTTAGTTATTTTAACTGATATGTGCTGAGTGTTAAAGAAGGACTTTGGTTGCAACACTGCTGCAGTCAATGGATCAGAAGAAAAAGATTGCCAAACTGGGTTTTTTTTTAGCTTCACTCCAGTGGCTTTAAAATGAGTGTTTATTAGAGGTGTTTTTAATGTTTGGGATTATTTTAGATCAGGAAGGTTTACAGGGAGTCACAGATGTAATGTGTCAGAACTTACAATAATAATAATAATAATAAAAACTGAAAATCAGTTTGCTGGAAATCAAAATATATTTTTTTATTTTACTTTTGAGTATCTAGAAGGCAAATCCTTATTTTAAACCTTTAAACTTCTTTTTAAGCCTACCGTAATTTGAACTACTATATAAAAAAGAGCAACTTGAATTCACAGATGCAGATACTTTTTCACAACTAGTCCCATTCCTATTTACTTTTTGTTTACGCATGTAACAAACATCCCTTAAATAAGTAAGTTGTATATTAATACAATTTAGGACACAATTGTTTGAACGTTTTGTGTCAGTTTTCTTGGACATTTCCAATTTAACACTTTTTTCCTTTTATTTAACATTACAAAATAAAAGCCTCTGTCAGCCTGATTCCAAATTAAAACTGTTTAATAACGTCCCAGGCTCCCCTCTGTCTCCCCCTCCCTGCGTCTCTCTGGCCCTTTGAGTCAATCAGCCGCTCTGCCCTTCGTTTCCCCCCCGTGTGGGAGGTTGGTGTGTTGGCCTGAGTCGCTGGGAAAGTCTCGTGATTTATGGCCTTGTGCAGGCCTGATTGCCTCTCTGATGATGGAGCCAGAGGTAACGAGGGCCGCTTGCTCCAATCCACAAATCCAATTTTATACAATTGGGATTTGAAGCCACTTGATAACTTTTGTAAAAAGATTTACATGATTGGTGGATAAAATAAAAAACAATCAAAAGGGCTTTTTTATTATTATTTTTACAATTTGAGAAATACTGACATTGACACATTTTTAAAATCAAGCAATCCAAGTTTACACTCAAGGGTTGCACATCTTTTTTTACATTGCACAACAAGCTTTTAATGGATTATTATTTACCCTGTGAGGGTTTTGGCCGGGTCAAGTGTCCCGCGCTGCTGCATCAACATAAAGCCTGAATACACTGCAGCAGGAAAAACAAGCAAACTCTGAGCTCTCAGTGACGGCTGAATCATTATGAGGCCCATTCTGAGGGGGTTACGCACTTGTTCCAGTCTCCATCAGATGACCAAGCAGCTCTAACATATTAAAATCAGCCAACCTTACATATGAAGAGGGACTCACAAGTGCACACGCAGCAACCAGGGCAGTAACTCAAGGCCAAAAGAGGAGGTTTATTTTTATCATGGGCAAAGGTGCCAAATCATGTTGGTACGAAAGGGGGCTATATAAATGCAAATTGTATTGGAGAGCTATTAGTCCTGGAAAAGGTTTTGTATGTAAATGCCCTATAGGAGCACAGTGGAGCAACTCATCCAGCTCAGATTAGTGGGGTTTGTGGCAAATGTGCTGCGAAAGGCACGAGAGAGAGAGAGAGAGAAACGGACTGAGAATGCCATTGCCTCGTGGTAAATCATGGTGAACAAGGTGAGAATTTGAGTAATTGAACGTCCAAAGTGTTTCTCTGCGATGTACCGCATATGCAAGAAAGGCGTGTTTGCAGGTCGTGTTGTTCAAGATATGGAGTTTTCTGTGGCAAACAAAAAGTGTGATAATAAAGTGAAAACAAACCCCAGAAAACCCACTTTGTGGCTCACAATAAAAGCAATAGAGTTAGAGGAAGAAAAAGCATCACAATTATGAAAATAATAAATCAAACATGGCTCAGAACACCATCACTGCTAAAAAAAAAAAAAAAAACAGAGGATAGGATAATTGGAAATTAGGCTGCAATATTAGAGCAATGTTGCCCTCTAGCTTTCAGTAGTCAGACTCACCAGTCAGAAATGCAAACACTGAAAGTCTATTCAGAAACTTATTGCCCAGACAGACATGTTAAGTGAAATCACAACATCAAAAATGTGCAAGAAAACAGCAAAACAGCATATTTATTCAAAAGATTTCATTACAGAACATTACTGCATAGATGGAGTTTAAAGTGCAGCTGCAGGCCATTAATGAGTCCGGATTTATTTCTTGCGAACTTTTATATTTCTGCAAACCCATGTCATGCCTTCCTGTAAAAATAAAAAAATAAAAAAATAAAATTATGTTGTTATGAGAACCCTTGAATTGGAGGTTTACATTGTGAATACACAGATTATAAATATTAATATCAGTGTGTGAATGTGAGTGTGAATGGGTGAATGTCTGTTAGTGTAAAGCGCTTTGGGGGTCCGGAGGGACTTGAAAAAGCGCTCTATAAGTTCAGTACCATTTACCATTTACCATTTACCAATATCGTTTTAAGTCTTGGCTTTTCTTTTCTTTTTTGAGCCAACCTTTTGTGCCCGGATAAAATATTAATACAGAACACAACTTCACTGATTTAAAAACAAGATTTGATGCACAGTTTTGAAATGGTCGAGGATTTCCTCTATACACACTAAAACTTTTAATAAGTGGTGCTGAAGGTTCCAAACGGCCTTTTAACATAACCAAGTCAATAAACTCTACTTTATTGATCTTGATTGACTGCAACTCTTTCCCAGCATTAAAACTATTTGTTTGACATCTGACATTTGACATCATGTTTGAATCTCAGATTAAAGGAAATCATTCAGGAAACACCAAGACTCAGGCCTGCCACGAACTGCAGACAGCAGGAACACCAGCATCACTGTCAACAATGAAACCAGTTTTTAATCACTATGGACCGAGAGGAAGCCGACCAAGAAACAAGCACTGCTGAAAAAGTGTCATCATCAAGCTTAAATGAAATTTGCATCACATCTAAGAACAACTACAGCAGGTAAAATAAGTATTGAACACGTCAACATTTTTCTCAGTAAATATATTACTAGAGGTGCTAATGACATGAAATTTTCACCAGATGTCTGTAACAACCCAAGTGATCCATACATACAAAGAAATCAAACCATAAATGTCCAGAAATTAAGTTATTTGTAATAATGTGGAATGGCACAGGGAAAAAGTATTGAACACATGAAGAAAGAGAGGTGTAAAAAGGCATGGAAAGACAAGACACCAGCTGAACTCTCTCAGTAATTAGAAAGCAAGCCTGCCCCTTGTCAGTGCAAATTAATATCAGCTGGTTCAGTCCCAAATGATGGCCAGGTATCACACAAGAACCATCTGATGATGGGTAAAAGTAAAGAGCTCTCAAGACCTTCACAACCTTATTGTTGCAAAGTATAATGATGGCATCGGTTACAGAAGAATGTCTAAACTTCTGAAGGTTCCAGTGAGCACTGTTGGGGCCATAATTCAGAAGTGGAAAGAACATTATTTCACCATAAACCGACCACGACCAGGTGCTCCTCACAAGATTTCTGACAGAGGAGTGAAAAGAATTATCAGAAGAGTTGTCCAAGAGCCAAGGACCACTTGTGGAGAGCTTCAGAAAGACCTGGAATTAGCAGGTACGTTTGTTTCAAAGAAAACAATAAGTAATGCACTGAACCACCATGGCCTGTATGCACGCTCACCACACAAGACTCCACTGCTGAAGAAACAACATGTTGAAGCTCCTTTAAAGTTTGCTGCACAACATTTAAACAAGCCTGTGTAATACTGGGAGAATATAGTCTGGTCAGATGAGACCAACATTGAACTGTTTGGATGCCAGAATACACATCATGTTTGGAGGTCAAATGGCACTGCACATCAGCCCAAAAACACCATACCAACAGTGAAGTTTGGAGGTGGGAACATCATGGTGTGGGGCTGTTTTTCAGCATATGGTACTGGCAAACTTCAAATAATTGAAGGAAAGATGAATGGAAAAATGTACAGAGACATTCTTGATAAAAATCTGCTTCCATCTACCAGGATGATGAAGATGAAACGTGGCTGGACTTTTCAGCAAGACYATGAGCCCAAACACAAAGCCAAGGAAACTCTCAGTTGGTTTCAGAGAAAGAAACTAAAGCTGCTGGAATGGCCCAGCCAATCACCTGACCTGAATCCAACAGAAAATCTATGGAAAGAACTAAAGATCAGAGTTCATAGAAGAGGTCCACGAAACCTTCAAGATTTGAAGACTGTTTGTGTGGAAGAATGGGCCAAAATCACACCTGAGCAATGCATGTTTCTCCATACAGGAGGCGTCTTGAAGCTGTCATTGACAACAAAGGCTTTTGTTCAAAGTATTAGATAAATTTCAGTAAGTGTGTTCAATACTTTTTCCCTGTGCCATTCCACATTATTACAAATAACTTCATTTCTGAACATTTATGGTTTGATTTCTTTGTATGTATGATCACTTGGGTTGTTACCAACATCTGGTGAAAATTTCATGTCATTAGCACCTCTAGTAATATATTTACTGAGAAAAATGTTGACCTGTTCAATACTTATTTTACCTGCTTTATATCTAAGAACAAAACTGTTAAGCATGATTGTGGAAGCCTCATGCTGTGGTATAGGTGCTTTTGAACAAAGTGGATCTCATATCTAATACGTTCTAATTAATACCAATTGGGTTAATTTTCAGTATGTTTTGTGCTATTTTTTATGTTACAGTAATAAATTTGATCACAACTTTAATTATAAACGTTAAAATTCTGACTACAGACTCAGTAGCTGCCTCTGTCTGAATTTTTGCTGAGTCTGTTCTGGTCAAACCCTGTATTTACCTGCACTCCCTCCACGGTAAGGGCTGAGCAGGCCTGCACCTGCCACATGCGATCTCTAACTGTGTGCAGGTGGAGACTCTCTGCCAGCTCTGACGGCGGACTGGCTGTCATCAGGTCCTGCTTGTTGGCAAAGATAAGCAGTGGCACGGCAGCGAGCTTTTCTTCCTCCAGTAGCTCAGCAAGTTCCTGGAGGAGCAGACACTGGTTAAACATAATGAGAAGTGACACAACACACGCGTCACTGTCGCTCGTGTAATCATTGTGATGCAGTTTGTTTTGTGTCAGCATTTCTTTACTAAACATATTTTTTTAATTTCCAGTTTTTGTCATTTATTACTCATGAACACTGATTATCACATTTTCCTTGTACTTGTTTTAGGAAAAAGAAAATTGTATCTCACCAAGCTTGTCTCCTCAAATCTTTTCCTGTCTGAGCTGTCAATCACATAGATCTGCAAACAATCCAGTTATAAATATGAACAAACAAAGAATATCAAAAGTAAAATAAAGGTCTATTTAGACTATTTGCATAAATGTGTGACTGCTATCAGCTTTTACACCTTTGGTTTTCTTTTTATACATTCTGCATGTTTTCTGCAAACTAAATGCATACACTGTACTGTTTCAAAATGGTTAGCTTGTTGATCAGCCTTTTGATTTTTCTCATTGTCTAAAAGTTTAACTATACATATTTAAAATACAATGCACCATATAATAACTCCTTCAGAACATTTTTCTCCTTGCTTGTTCCCTTTCATCATCTTATTCTAATCTACTTTTAATTTGTAGCTACCAATCTGAATTTCTTTTAGCATTACAGTTTTACTAATTTTAACTTTTGCAAAATTTAGATTCCCTTTTATTTTTAACTTTAACATTTGTTTTTCTAATTGTAGCTTTAGCACATGTTTTGCAGTTTTTGCTATTGTTTTGCTAACTCTACTGTTTGCCTTTTTTAGTTGCAGTATCTGATTTATTACTTATGAAGGTTTGTTCATTTTAACTTCGGTTTTTGCTCATTTTATCTCCAGGATTACTTTTAATTGCAGAATTTGTTTTGCTCAACGTATCTTTAACTCTTGTTTTGCTTTTTTAGCTACTGTTTTGATGATTGTAGCTACTGTTTCCTTATTTTAGTTTTATCTGATACTTTTAGCTGTAGAGATTTGCTCATTTTAGCTGCTGTTTTGCAATCTTTTTTGCTTTACTTTATGTTTTGCTAGTATTTATATTGTGTTGCTCATTTTAGCAACTGTTTTGCTCTCTTAGTTTTTAGCTATAGGCCTACTGCTCAGCTCCTGTTCTGTTGCTTTTAGTTTGGGTTCAGCTTCTTTTAGCTTGTGTTCTGCTTGTTTCAGCCTGTTTTTTCTCATTTATTCTCTGCTGTGCTTTTTTAATTATCATTTTAACCACACGGTTTTAGCTTCTTTAACAAATTTCAGTAGTTTTTCAGCACTTATCAATCACGCTGCAGGAATTACTAGGTGATACAGGAGTGAGAAAAACAAAATGAACCTACCAAAACATCTGTGTTTTCAAAATAATTCCTCCAGTACGGACGGATCTTACGCTGCCCTCCAATGTCCCAAACATTTAACTTGAAGCCTGCAGACTGCACGCTCTTTATATTAAAGCCCTGTTAAAAGGTAACAAAGATGCTTAATGGGTAATTAATGCATTAATGGGGTCAAATGAAGCATAACCTGAATATCTATTTGACTAGAAAGTGAAGAAATGAGTTGTAAAGACCTGATTTCCAGAGTGTGACTAACCTAATGTGTTTGCGTATGTGTGTAAAAGTGTACTTGTGTGGGGGTGACATGGCTGATGTCTTCAGCTGCTAGCTGTTTTAGCAGAGTGGTCTTCCCAGCGTTGTCCAACCCCAGCAGCAGCAAGCGCACCTCCTGCTCTGGGGACTGCTTCATTCTTCGAAGAATCGACAAAAGGCCCTGCAGGAGGATCACGGTGTGCATTTAAAGGCAACTGAACCTCAATGGGAGAACAGTTTGCAGGGTGGAATAACATTAGAAAACCAGCATGCAGAGTCACGATGCTCCAGTAAACTCTGAGTTCCAGCCAGGAGAAACCTGAGTCACTCAGCCAACGGCTAGAATCACCTGAGCACGAGGATTTAGCTGTTAGCCTGTAAAGTCATCTATAAATGTTCCAGGTCAAAGACGCTCTGCAGAGGGACAGGATTAGACATCTGTACAGTAGGTGGCTGGTGTCCAGAAGGTAGAGAAGGTTTTATCTTAAGTATTGTGCAAAAATCTTGGTCATCACTTTTTTTTTACACTTTCACATTTCTGTTTCTATTACTTGGATTCCCCATATATTCAGTTGCTTTTCCCCCTCTAACATTTGTTTTGAAAGGTAAACAAATCTCTCTCTCTGGCATTTCTTAATGGTATGTTTTTGAATAATCTAGCCAGATTACATACATAAAACAAAGCAGACAGGAAAATTAAATAGCATAGGAGCAGAAAGTGTGACAAGCCTGATCATCAGCGACAGTAGAGACAAACTGGTCTGGCATTCAGCCCATTTAGCTTTAGCTATGTTTCCAGCAAAAGCAAATATATCCCAATAGAAAAATAAGTCAGATTATCTTTTAAATTCATAGTTGCTGATGCTGAGAGTCGTGATAACTCACCATGTTTCCCTCAGGTGTTTCTGTAGCCGGTGTTCATGCTGAGTGGATTAACATCCTCCTGAAATGCCTCTCAGCTGAACTGCTGCCAAGTTTTTTTTGTTTTCCAGGAAACAGTGACATAAGCTAAGGATCTATTTCTGTAACAATTTATTAACTAATAAAAAACAACAGTACATTTATTTTTGCATATACACTTTTCTATGTTATGTAATGTTCATTTTGTGAAAACAGTAGATTATAATTGGAAACAATAAAATCAAACATCAGCAAAGGTTATCCTGAACTGCATCAAATGTTGTAGGTTGAAAACATTTACATCAACAGCTTTACAGATATAAGCTAATGATATGCAATACTGAAATGCAGGTACACATTCAATGTAAACAGAGCACTTATATCTACACGTTTCACTCAACAAATTAGAGTGTAAGCGTGTACTTATACATCAAAAATGTCCATTTCTCAATCCGAAATGTCTCTGCCATGAACACCATCATCGTTGACTTTTTTCAGTCACTTCATCCTTTTCTGTACGTGAACTACATGTGGTCGTTCGGTGGCCATTCACAATTTTTGCCTACAATTTTTGGATTTAGACACTTTAACCATCAATATAAAAAATGGGTTTAGATTTCACTTCTTCGTTCAAGACATTGCAATGAGCACGTTTAATGGAGGAAAGTAAAAATTATAACAGCAGTGCAATGGGGATTGGAACAAAGATTTATTTATTGATTTTGCTGTCATTGCTGAAAAAAATCACAAGTAGTCTTAAGCTAACTGAACATTGTTTTAGGCATTTAATCTTTTCTGCAGCAATATCCAATGGCACATCTGAAACCTCATAGTTTTATCCATTAATCTGTTTTTTTTTTTTTTTTTGCGTCTGTCAAGTGTTATTCCACGAGCAACATCTCACTTTCTTTAATTTATTTAACATAAAACCCTTCAATATTTACAAGACACTGGTGATGCTCCACAAACTCGCTGTAAAATCAGGTTTTCACCTGGTTTTGTTATCTCAGTGTTTTTTCTACACACGCTCCCACAGCGCCCCCTGCAGGTTAATCTCCGCCTCAGCCTCAAATACTGGCCCTGGAGGAGGAGGAGTGTTTCTCGGTCAAACAACAAAAACATGTCTGAGTGATAGACTGAACCTTTAGTTTCAGCCGTCTGCTGTCTCCGCAGCGAGTCGTTTATTCGACCAACTGCTATATGATTCCTGTCGCATTTACGGCCGACAACCCAGAAAGATGTCGCAGAAAGCACTGGGATCCATTGTAGGTCTTCTTTGTACCGGGACCTGTTTCGTGCAGGTAAGCCCGCGTTTGAGCTCAACCGCGTCGGCGCGAGCTTCTAGGCGAGACCGCCGCTTCTTGGCTCGTTGAAGGCCTTCCTATCGACTCTTTTTGTCTCCTCCACAAAGGAAACGGGGCACGGTCCGCTGATGTTTACTGTAGATGACGTCAGTTTGCAAAAGTTTTCACGTATAATTTTTTTACAATGATGTCTGTGGCAAAATTTGTCTGCTGGCTTAAAGAACTTCACGTCTGTTTTTTATTCATCCAGTTTGACGATTCGAATCGAAAGTGTTAGGAAGAACATTAGCCGCTGCTAACTGGTACCCGGTTAATCGACATATAATTTAATCATAGCTGTTGATGTTAGCTGGACGGTGCCAAGCTTAGCTCATCCACCGAACTTTTTTAGCCTGAAATGATACTGTAAATTACGTTTAAGCTATTTTACAACTGAATGATACTTTTTCACAATTTCTTTTACCTAAAATATATATAAAATATGTTTGTAAAAAGAGAATGATGTTCATTATTTAATTAGTTTGTTAGAAGTATATAAATTTCTTTACCACACATTTCCTCAACGTTGTCATTGAGAATAAAGGTATACGTGTGCCACACTTTCCATCCATCTCAATGATTTCTGGTTAGAGCTCAGCTGTCAAACCAAAAATATTATTTTGTGAAACATACTGTGTGTAATGTTTTTCCTATGTGCTTTAATTGTACATTACAGTAAGCTGCTTTCTGCTTTTCCCAGGCATCTAAATGGAAACTATATTTCCATGGAAAAGTGTGTTTCGTTCGCCTACTAATGGGTGACACAAATATGCACAAACACGAGTGACATTGAAGCGACAATGAAAAAGGACGAGTTCGGCCTTTTTTTATTTACTTGTGTGACTGAATATTGACTGTGTACACCTTTTGTGTTCGTTTAAGGGGAAGGAGTTCTGTTTTGGGGTAAACAATGAGCAGTACCGCTGTGAGATGGGCTATTGCTGTGGAGAAACAGAGTGCTGCACTTACTACTATGAACTCTGGTGTAAGTATAGTTGTAGTTTCCCCCTACACTTACTTGTAGCACATCTATTTATTCATATACATCCCTTTTATTTATTGCTTTTTGAGATTTAATTATTCAGACAAGCTTCCTTTTTTAAATGCTCGTTTCACTTTTAGTTTCAATTAGTTTCACTTTTTTTTAAATGAAATGAGCTTCCTTGTGGTTAAAAAGCATTAACATGCACATCCTGAAAAGTAAAAATTCTAACCTGAGCTCGTTTTAGGTGTATACCTGTGTTTAAACTTGCTGCACAACTGTGCATCTAACTCCTCATCAGGGACTTGTTGAGTCAGATAAAGCTCTGGTAACTTAGATCACCTTCTTTCTGTAGTGATGATAAGATTACACCGAGCCTGTATCCTCCCACAGGGTTCTGGTTGGTATGGACTCTCATCATAATGCTCAGTTGCTGCTGTGCCTATCGACACCGGAGAGTTAAAATGCGTTTGCAACAGGAGCAGCGACAACGTGAGATCAGCCTCATGGCCTATCAGGGAGCCTCCAGCTCCTTCATCTCCCCTCCACCTCTCAATTTAAGTGAGTTTCCCCCCCCCCCCTGGTGCCAAATCGTCTGTTTTGGTTTTCTGTTCTCTTGCAGGTCTCTATCTCAGATGGAAGGACTGATCTCTGTATATTAAACACTTTGTGGCTGTGTAAAGATAAAGGCTACAAAATATTTTGCATCAAGCTTCTCTGCAAAGCTCCTATACATTTGTGGATCATGATTCCTAATTTTGGATCAGCACTAATCTAATTCAATGTCTGCTTGGTCTGTATTACTCAACCAACATGATGCTTGATGTTAAATGTAACAGCGGCCATTTCTGACTGAGTTATAACCTTAGAACCCGATACTGATCATTATCTTAATCTTTCATGCTCAGCTGCAAATTGTTTGTGATGCTGAGGATTGTGGTTGAACTGAAATTGTAGCTGTGACAGTTGATAGCTGAGCTGCCGCTCTAATGTCAGTGGTCACGCCGGATGGGATATATTGTGTCCGAAAATATCACAAACGAGAGATGGACGGGCTGCACGCTTGGCGGAGTCTGAAGCCCACGTTCAGCACGCCTGACATTAAGTCAAAAATGAGAAACAACTGTGATTGCACACTTAGACAGTGACTCACACAAATAGACTGACATCTGCTCTTAAATGTGTTTCATCAAGAAACTATTTTTATAGTAATTAATCATGCTATCACAACAACATTGCCATATGCATAGGATGCTCCTATAATTATGAGCTTTGAGTCTGAAATATTTGATAAAGTTTGGAGACGTTTATCAGAATGTTTTGAGGAAATAAAACTCTTAAAGGGATCCCCGATTAGTTGTAACATTAGACTTTATTTGATAAACATATATTTTAACTGTAAAATAATGACTGTAAAAATACTGTAGGCTGTTTAGTTTTTATAATTTTTAAACTAAAATTTAAAAAATATATTTTAACACGGACGGGGCCATTTTATTTACACGCAAAGCATTCTGGGTAAATCATGATGTGGATAGGTCATCGGTGCGAGGCTGCTAGCGAGCTATATCCACCCTGAAGGTTAATCTTGGACAATATCTGATGAACGACTCTTTTAAATGAAACCAGAGAGCGTTGACAGAGAGGAGAAGGTAGAAATGACTCAGCCTGTAAATGAAAATATGGATGGAGGACAACAGTGCTGCTTCATGGAAGAAGAACCCCAGCTTAGCCTGTTAGCTTTAGCGTTAGCCCTGATGCTATCACCATATACAGTATATGAATTAGCTCAGCGCTACACATTCTTCTCTCGTCACTGAGGTCCTCCATCCACATGACAGAGAGGGGAACGCAAAAATGACTCAGACTGCAACTGAAAATATAGATGGAGGACCTCAGTTTAGCTTGTTTGTCACGCTAGTGCTGAGCTAATACATATAAGGCAATATAGCGTCAGTGCTAGCACAAAGGCTAACAGGCTAAGCTGAGATTCTTCCATGAAGCAGCTCTGTTGTCCTCCATCTATATTTTCATTTACAGGCTGAGTCATTTCTACCTTCTCCTCTCTGTCAACGCTCTCTGGTTTCATTTAAAAGAGTCGATCATCAGATATTGTCCAAGATTAACCTTCAGGGTGGATATAGCTCGCTAGCAGCCTCGCACCGAAGACCTGTCCACATCATCATTTACCCAGAATGCTTTGCGTGTAAATAAAACGGCTCCGTCTATGTTAAAATACATTTTTAAAAGTTTACAAAACTAAACAGCCTACAGTATTTTTACAGTCTTTATTTTACAGTTAAAATATATGTTTATCAAATAAAGTCTAATGTTACAACTAATCGGGGATCCCTTTAAACCCAAATGTATTTAATAGGAGGAGTTGGAATGGGAGACTGTGTTGATATTTATTTATTTTTGCTTTTTAAATTTTCTTTTGATTCATTGAGTCAAGCTCCATCTTCCTTATTTTCTAGGGTTTTGGAATGACTGCAAGCTTCCTGATTATGAAGAAGTTGTAGGGCACCCCCCGACCCCACCTCCCCCGTACTCCGAAAACCCTCCTGAGCCGACTCCAGCACTCGTGCCACAAATAAACCCACCGGACTCTGCCTCTGTGCCTGAAATCCTGCCCGAGCCAGCTCCGAGGGTGGAAAGCCAGGGTTCGGACTCGTCGCCTGACCAAGAGGAGGCGACGCCCCCGGCCCGGGGCCAGTGTCGGGCCGAGGAGAACGTAGAGGCTTTGCTGTTGGCGGCCGCAGCGGTGGAAGAGGAGGAGGATGAGGAGCTCATTACTCGACGCCGGCACGTGACCGGCGACTCAGGGATCGAGGTGTGCGTCTGCCAGCTGGATGTAGACGAGGGCTCGGGGCTCGAGGAGGAAGGCGACGAGGACCGCCAGGTGTGCGGCGCCGCCAGCAGGGACTGCTGCTCCGGACACCAGCAGGAGACCTTCAGACAGAAGGAGAGCAGCTCGGAGCTGCCCGGCCAGAACACCAGCACCGGAGACAACATGGTGTGACCCATCAACCAGCAAACCAGAGCAGCTTCCTGCTTCGTACAGGGTGATCGTTGCTATCATCTCCACCATAGGGACTGTCTGTGCTTTAAACCTCTAAACTAATCCATGGACACGACTTTAGGATGATGATAACTAATCTGTTATGGCTTCTGTTTAGGACAGGTTAAATAATGTGTGGCCTAACTCCTGGCTTTCTTTTCCTATACTATTCTAAGCAGGAGAACCAGCAAACATGTTGTTGCTCCATTTGGTGTGTTTTTACTGAGTAGGAAGCATGAGAAGACGGCAGTTAGAGACTGAAACCAGAATTGACTGATTTTTTTATTTTTTTATTTTTGCCTTCTCTTACATCACTGCTGTCATGTTTCCTCTTCTGTCCTGCCGCTCTCACAGGTCAGAACATTTCCGGCTTTCCTTCCAAGTGACATTCCACCTCCAGTGGGACGGTCATTCAGAAGCACGCCGACCCGGTCAACAACATTTCTCCCGTCGCCCGCTACGTTTGAGTAGATGAGTCGAGAACAAACCTCTTGGAAACTCGGCTTGATCTTGGACGAATTAAAAAGAGATTATGTTCGTTTTTTCTTTTCTTTTCTCGAAGCCTGGTGCGCGCGTGGCACCAAGTGTGCTGTGAAATGTAGGCCACAGCTGCATGATGATGTCATCTCTGAGGTCATGGGCCGCCGGGGTTTTGGTGAAGGCTTGTGGAACTCGAGTGTGGGAGACTAAACACTCGGGTAGAGGAGACACCAGTCTGTTTGAAATGTCACTGTAACCTCTTCTTCATTTGATAACCACGCTGTTTGCAGCAGAGCTGCACAACCGCTGATTAGAACGACATAAGAGGTCCTCGGCATTTTCGATATTTGATTTATTGGTGGTGTCCTTGTGATTGTCTCCCACTCCAGTTCCTGACTGCAGCACATTTCTAACAGCAAACGTATAAGTGGACTAACTCACCTGAAGGTGGCTCTAGATTTTATTTAAAACGTAATTTTTGTGTAATTTATCGCTCACCATATATTTTATATGATGACTGAAGGATTTAGTTGCTTTATCATTTCATAACCAGCTTTGCTTCGGTAAATGCTACTGGCGTTATCGTTATTTTCAACAAAACTGATAGGGGCTGTTTGGTGTGTACCAGTCGCTGGGTCCTACAATGCAGTCAGGAAAGCTTGTGATTTATTTTTTTTTATTTGTACCTTTAAAGTGCTGCAGCGTTTGGTTGAAATCCTAAGTTAAAGCACTGATATTTTGCACGAGGCATGATTTGGTGTTTCTACTTGAGTTAATTAGACTTACTTTGCTAATCCGTTACAACAGTAGTGAGCTGCAGTGCTAAACTGCTATTTTTGTTTTTGGTCCGGGGTCAAAAAAGTGAACTGAAGTTGAACTGTTTTGATGTCTTGATCTCGTAGTGCGTTGTTAGGACTGTGTAGGACTCGCTATGCTGCGGCGCAAAGCTGGCAACTAAGTGGCAGATGCTGCCTCGGGTCTCTGTAGCTCCTGGCATTGTGAGGGATTTGCAGTGGTATTTTCCACTGGGCCAGTGCATTAACGAGGTGAGGTGGTTGCAAGCTTTGCTCTGCAGTTCTATTCAGCGCTGGCACAGGCACAGAAACTGTTGTGATTAACTGCATGTTCTACAGCACTGCATGTTCTTTTTTGTTTCTTTTTATACTGTATTGTATTTATATGTGTGCGGTCAGAACACCACTTCACAACAGATGGGAAAATCCACAGTTCAATGAAACTCTTCTTGCACAGATAAATGTGTCCAAGATGAGCAGTAACTGATTTATCAGTAGGTATAATTAGTAGGTTAAAGAATTTACTCTGGACCGTGATAGCAGCTTTTATATTAGTCTGCTCAGATTGTGTATGAAGCACACAGAGCAATGCTCCTGGCCTTTCATAAAATCTGTAGCCATCGAATCAGCATTTAGAAATTTAGAGTGACCACAAATTAAATTATAGGGTTCGCATACATTTCGGCTTTGAACTAGTGTGAAGATAACACTGACATTTTAATCCTGGCTGAAATTAAACTTTCTGCACTGATTAAACCAGAGGAAGAAGAGAAAAAAAAACACGTGAAAGACATTTTTGATGAAACATTTCCGGTATAATTTCAATGGCCTGTGCGCGTCGTAAAGAAAATGTTTCCTCTTCTCTCGGGTTCCCAGCAGTTTGCTCCAGATGTGGCTCTGCGTGAGTTAGAAAGCTTTCTGCTGTGGCTAAAGTGTGAAACAACACAACGGGGCCATTGCACCAAAAAAAAAAAAAAAAAAGTCAAAACAGAAAGTTAAATTATTAAGACACCAAGATCTGAGGTTGTGTTCCAACCAAACAAGCCCTAAAAAAGGTTTGTCGTTTGAACGTGCTGACATGCTGGTTACCTTTTTCAACAGAGCGGTTCCAACAGAACCATAACAGGAATCAGTCGTTTTATTTAATTGTAATTTTCTTGACAGTACACCTCAAGCTGCCTTTCACTGGAGCAGAAGTCTTGATTCTGGGGCTGCACAGTAAAAACATAAGCTCTGTATGTGGAAACAGATGTAATACTGCCTTATTAGAAGTGGTTTTCTTTTGAAGATGGTGACATTTGTATAGTTGTACACATGGTCGTATTAGTGAGCAAAGGACTGCTGTTTCGTCTCAGTAGAAAGTAGCATTTGATCTTGTTCCGGGATAAGCCCCGGTCGTTTTGTGAGTAAAGGATGTGGTATAACAACGATTTCAAAGCCACTGGTTTGAAGCTGTTGCATGTCGTGTTACAGTCGAACATAAATGGTGGTTTTTGTAACTAAGAAGTGGTCGTGGTGAATTTAAAACAAATACTGTGTGTTTAGTTAGTTGTGGCACTGATGGGATTTGGTCTTGAGTAGCAGGTTGAGTTAGTGCTCGGCTCAGATTTTGTTCTGTGTTCCTGGTTAGAGGTAGTTAGTGAAATGAATCAACTAAAAAGCATGAAGAATTTTTTTTTTTTAAACGGCTTTGTTGTTTGTGATTATATCTTGCATTTGGAGGACAAAACTGAACTCCAAGAAATTGCTATTTTACTTTTTTGTATTTAAGGTGCATCCTTGCTTATTTAAATTCATATAAAAGAAAAAAAAGGCAAGCGACGGCTGTAAGAAGTGAGGATTTTTAAAATATTTTTTTGGTACATAAGTGAACTGGAGGTTAATAGTTGTCCTGTTGCCAAACAACTGCTATGCCTCCATGGTTTCCACATATTTACTGAGAGTAAGGGCTATCTGTCAGTCATGACTTGTTTGAATTGTTGACAGACATCTATTTCACTGAGGGATTCATTCATCTGTTGTTGGTCATTCGAAGCCACAGTTGCCGAGATCCACTCTATGAACACAGATGTGTAATGTGAACATGTTGACGTTGGATGTTAAGCTCATATTTATCTTCTAGCTGATTGTATATGACCACGTGTTATAGGCTTGACTTTTGTCTTCTTGTCTTGTCAACCTCAACAGAGGTGCGTGATGCGACCTAACTCCTCCCGTTTTTGGATGTGATAAATTTTTCTTCTTATTTTTTTTTTTTTTGCTTTGCCTCATTTGCTCTTCATGGACCGTGACTCCACACCACCTTCCTCCCAACCGTGTCCCGGTAACAGAAACTGTAGCCGACACCGTAGCCGTACGCGTTTTTCCTTCAGCGGCGACGTTCCGCTCGCAAAAATTCTCAACAAAAAGGGCGTGTTCACCCAATCTACCAAAGTCTTTGCCGTTCCGTTGCTTCGCTGACTGTCGAATCGCTCCGTGTGCGTGTATATGTGTGATTGTCGTGATGATGGTCTGTTCGGTTTCACACTCAGGGTTATTGTTAAAAAGCAGTGCTACCAACACATTTCTGACCCCCGCCCCTCCTGTCTTTTTTAAAAAGCCAAAGCAGTTGTCTGATTGTTGTCACCCCATTGTTTGCTATGAAACCAGCATCACGCATCTCTGTAAACTTTACTCAACTAGGCTATGCAAAGACATAAACATACTGTTAAATGCTGCAAACCCTTTTTCTGTCATTTGTCTGTGGGCACCAGTACAAGCAATATAACTCTCAGTACTCGTGGCACTGCACTGTACTGTAATCTACTTTAACTGGTCTGTGTAAATCTATTTGTTATAAAAGAAACTTGTAAAATATACTGACTATGTATGCTTGATTTATTATTAATATTATTATTATTTTTATTTTGTTAAGGGGCTTCAGTTTAAAAAGCCATTCTAGCTTGTAGATTGTCCCCTTTTCTTTTCCTGTCTTCCTCCTTCAACCACTACTTCTGGATTAACCACGTTTTTAGGCTGCGCATGCTGAAGCGAAGGAAAAACGTAGAATATATTCTAAATGATCAATCAACTTTTGCTTATTGGTATTTTGGGTATGTGTTGAACTTCTCCACACCTCAACTTTTATCTGATTTAAATGCAGGTTTCTCCCCTTTTTTTTGTTTCAGGCATATTTAACCGTTGCCTTTAATGTCCTGTCAGTTTAATATATCGTGAAAGATCTCAACGTGGAACACAGTCAGCTAAACCAACACAAAGCAGCCAAGTGTCATTACTTGACATTGAGCTGAAAGAGTATCCCACTCCCCCCTGTTCAAGCAGATAATTTAATCACATAGAGTTGCCATGGCTGAGCTTGTTTTTTTTTTTAAAGAATAGATTTAGTTTGAAAGGGAATCAGCCACCTACCAACACTCCACCTTTTCTATCTTGTTTCTGGTCTATTTTTTTAATTTAGACAAACTGAGTAAACTGAGGGTGGAAAAGCACTGATATGAAAATGCTTTGGTTTTGGTTACAAGTCTACTGTGTACTGTCTGGATTGTTTTTTTATAATAAAAACAATTTTGGTGCTCTGCTGACAGGCTTTTGTTTTATTTAAATTTATTCATCATTTTTTTAGAGACCAAATTCTTTGAGTGCAAAATAAAAAGAGTTTGAGCATCCATGTGGAAGCATTGGTCCAACAAAGACAGCCTCATGTGGGAGGTACCTAGGGCTGCTGGCCTAAATCATTGCCATATCACCCAAAGACAAGTTTAACAAGTCATTTTTTTTGTTCTGTACCTCCAGTCTGGTCATGAGCTTTAGTTTTCCTAAATAATGGTTTCTTAAATATTTTAAATGTTCGCTTCAGTTGTATTTTTTATTTCTTTTCAGAATGCAGGAATTAACCTTTAATATTAAGAGTTGTACCGTATATTTTGGACTAATGTCCCATTTGATAACATATCCACAAAGATTCAGCTTACTGTGGAATGGTGATGCATTTTTTTCCCACCATTCAAACCCTCGCACACAAATATGTCCTGCATGGTTTGAGAGCGAAGTTATTTTGGTTCCATTTTGTCCGATCTTATGAATGCTGCATTGTCATTTGTGTGGTAGCATGACACATTTACAACACTTTTAATTCTCAAAACTCATAAGCCAGTAAAATTAAAAAAATAAAAATAGAAGGAAGACTCTAGGAACCATTCTAAAATTCAAAACTTGTAATTCTTATTCACTGCATAAATACATGAGACACAGATTTCATACAAAATCTAATAAAAATGAGATGTCATAGTGGGTTATAGGAGGTGCTTATAAACTGCACAACAGAACCACGAAAATATGAGATGTACTGTATGTCGACATGAACTTTGTGACGATGGGTCAGAGACATACCTGTGTGTGTTAGGATTACAGCAAGGACATATGACATTCAACAAAGAGCCAGGGGATCTGTTTTTACATGCAACAACAAAAAACTAAACAAAAGTTAGTTTAGTAATCAGAGTTTGGGGAGGGGGGCGTCACATCCTATGCATTTCTTCAAGGAACGGTAGTGTTATCGTTACATCAACGATATAGGCCAAAAGTTTTGGCAGTGGCACAAAATGACTTCACATGATAGGAAATATTACACCTGAAAGAGCATTTCTCAAAGTGAGAGGGTCCAGCAAGCTTCAGGACCATTTTCTCCTGAAAAAAAAAAAAATCACTGGAGAATTATGTTGCCACCAGAACAGAGCTCAACACTGGCAGCAGAGTGAGGCAAAGACTAAATTTAGACAACAACCTTGTGATGAAAAGGACATCAAAGAAGTCTCATCTGTCCAAGACAACATCAAACTAAAATTATTTTGCAATTATAAAGGCTAGACTGCAGGAGACTGATGCAAATTCATCTCTGACGACTCTTCTGATTGTTTTGGACATTTGGAAAATCATCTGTCCAGAGAGGAAAGTGAGTGAGTGAGTGCTACTGTGAGTCGCTGTGTTGTGCCAACACTGAGGCGTCCTGATACGATCCATGTGTGGGGCTGCTTAGTGGTATCAAAACATCTTCCAACACTCAGGTGAAGATCTGTGGGTTACTCAGCAACACTGTGATAAAGTGGCCTGACGATCATGACTTTGACATTTTAGGACTCATGGCAAGAAAAGTGCCTCCGAATCTGTGACTAGTTCTTCAAAAGCAAGAAGCTAATCAGAAGCAAACAAACCGATCCACTCCACAAACAGTAACAGGTTAAGAATGGGTCACCATGGGTCAGGATTTGGACCAGAATTTGATATCCAGCATGCAAGTGTGAAGTGAGGTTATGTATTTTTCTAATGATTGTTCTTAAACACAGCAACATTGAAGCCACAGCACTGTTGTGTCATTGCCAAAACTTTTAGCCATAACCATACTGTATATCTAAAACCACATTTTTGAAGAAAACAGGTTTATCCTACCTTATACCTCTAGATTCATACTCAGCAAAATGTCTGTTAGCCACAACAAAAGCAAATTAGGTCATGTTTGCTTGTCAAGTGTTCTATTTTTGGTTAATATCATTTTATCGCAGTTTTCTTAAAGTTTGAAACTGCTTCACAAAAGAAATGTATCTGGTCAGGTGGAAGTTCAGTGCAACAATAAATTTCTGAAAATATCAGACCAATCAAAATCATTGAACCTAAGGCGATAACTTTAATATTAGTGCATTTTTTTTGATTAATCCAAAGTAGCAAAGATGAAGTAAAGAATAAATATAGCTGCTCAAAAGAATCAGAAAGGACACTGCATGATTGATACCGAGGTGGAGGTGTAAGGCTGAGTAGATATGAGTCAGGCAGGAGTTAGGTGTAAAGTCTCCCAGCTGATTCACCAACGGCACAGCTGGATAATGGCTTTTTTTCAGCAGGAAAAACATGAACTCTAACTCCATAATTGCAGTCAAATTAAGGTTTTCCTCAGTATAAAAACTTCCACTGCTCCACCGGCCGATAAAGTCTCACTCTTATCGCAGTCGGGTCTTTGGACCTCAGTAGTAAATCACATTCATGGTCGAGCTCCTCAGTAGAAGCGTTTGCGTCGGCTCTCGTTCCACTGGCTGTAGACCACCATGCCGATGATGATGAGGAAGACACAACCCAGCATAGAGAAGAGCACGGTGAAGAAAATGGACAGTCCACTCATCCCTTCGTCACTCTGACCCACTGAGAAAGGAGATGGCGATCGGATCAGTAAAAACAGAGAGCAGCACAGTTAGTAAACAGAATGAAAGAGGTGAATGAAACATTTTTAACGTTTGTCCTACATCTGAGCAGGTCCATGTTATCCACACTGGGGATGGTTATTTCTTCCTGCTCCTCCTCTTCCTCCTCCTTTTTACTCCGCAGCACCGTCAGTTGGTAAAGTTTCAGGGAAATTATATCATGGTTATCTACAAATAAAAATCAGAAAATATAACTAGAGAATGGTTGAATGGTTCATGCTGAAAAAGTTTTGCTGAATAGCTAAAAAAGTCAAAACTAGCTTAAAAATAGCTATGCAAAAGTAGCTGAAATTAGCTCAAAGAACAGAATGAGCATGTTTGCTGAATTAAGCAGTACAAAGCAAAAATCATCACAGAATGGTAAATTTATCAGAAAAAAGGCTTAAATTAGCTAAAAATACAGAAAGCAGCTGAAAGAATAAGCTTCAAATAGCAGAAAGAGCACAAAATGTTGAAGTTATGATAGCTAAAAAAACACAGAAAAATGCTCAAATCAGCTGAATAGAAGCTGAAAAGAAATAAGCACAAAGAAGTGGAAAAAAGCTGAACCAGAACAAAAGGTAAAAAATGCAGTAAAGTTTTATGAATATTTTGAAGGGTATTAAGGATGTTGAAGATGTGAAAAAAAAACATAGCTGAAAAGGTTAAATATCTCAAAAAATATAAATACCAAAAGTCATAGCAGGAATGTCTGACAGGAGCTGAACGTTTTGATGTACAAATTGTACAAATAGTACAAAAATAACAGAACAAGATATGTGCCGAAACATATGAAATTAAAAAAAAATCATCTCAATATTGTGAATGCTTTATAAGCATTCATTCAAGATTCTGATTTTGCACTGTGAAAGTTTGACCAGAAGCTGAAATGCAGCAGCTGCTGTAAACCAGTAGTTGTTTGCAGAGCCAGTAGCTGTTTACCTGACAGATCTCCAGTGATCGCTGAAGCTCCAAAATAATAGCCTAGTGGGAGCCTCACCCCGGGTATGTCCAGGCAGTCCCTCCACTCGTGCTGACCATCGATGTCTATCATCACCTGCTCAGCAGTCAAGAAACTACAGTCAGTTTTACCTAAAACAGGCCCTAAAACAAGTTTACAAAGTTATCTGATTATTTTAATAAATGCAATCAAAGATTCACTCAGATTTTACATTGAAACTTTGTGTATTAGACACAAAATCCTAAAAAAAAATATTTTTTTATTTCATTTAATTAAAAACAAAACAAATTTCAACACAACACAATATCATTAAATGAAAAGGAGGAGAAAAAAAGAAAAAAAATCTTATAAACTCTGCCCTGTTTAACAAAAAAAATATAAATATACATATGCATAAATAACGATTTCACACCCTAATGATCAGATAAAGGAAGAAAAGATACAAACATACAACCAAAATAAATAAATAAAGATTACAAAAAAAGATGTGTTAATGTTAGCTGATTCAGCTAAACTTGGGACTTCTAATAGTGGGTTAGACAGTGGGAGACATGAGGAAGTGTCTGCACGCGCTAATCCCTGTTATCTCAGCCAATAAACTGCAGCAGAAAGTGTGTGTTTCTCACCGTGAGCCTGCGGCGGACGTATCGGATGAAGAGGAAAGTGTCGTGCTTGAGGTTGCGCACCATGGCGTTGCAGCCGCCCAGCTCCGTGGGGCGGCCGTCGCGCTCGTGGTCGTAGCTGATGCTGCCGTTGCCCACCATGGCGAGAACAAAGGGGAAGATCCTCTTGTAGCAGGAGGACAAACGATGAAACAGTGAGGAGGAACATTTGATTTAAAGAGGTCTCTGAAAGAAAAGGCTCATCAGGTGAAAATATTTTTCTTTAATGTGTTTTACAGAGCCATGCAAACCAAGCAAGCGTCTACATGAGGGAGTCCTCAACTATAAACAGTTTTGGAGCAATACTTACTGCCATCTAAAGGTCTTTTTTAAAAAAGAGAATTTTTTTTCTTTCCCCAAACATACTCTGTACATATTAAAAACAACAACATGCTGTCAAGGAGTCTGGTTTCATGTTTCAGATAAAAATTCAACACATTTTGCTCTCACAGCTATGTTGCTGAGCAATAATATAATAAACATGTCTTTATTCATGAAAATAAAAGAATAGCTAAATATAGCTCACACGGTTAACACAAACCAAGACCAGCACCATTCTCCATCCTACCTTTGCTCTGTTTTCGTTGCCAGGTTTTAATGATTTGCATTGAATGATCTGATTTCAGTCTATTTTGTTTTCATTTTGCACAGCCTTCCAAAGCGCTTTCAAAGATGCAGCACAGCAAGTAAGAGTTAGCTATCATCAGAACTCTTCAAGACTTAACTTTTTTTAATATATTTCATAATGTATAAAACATATTTCATTCATCTTTTTATATCAAAACATTTTTTAATAAGCAGCAATGTCAGTCTGACAAACCACACAGAAAATCATGCAGGAACTAAAATGTCACAAACAATCGTTTTAGAGGGATTAAATGGTTTTTTAGGAAATATGCTTAAAAAGGTCATTGGAGGGTTGGACGGCGGGCCGGGTTACCTGCGTGCGAGGTGTGTATCTCTTCTTTTGCGCCTGTTTCCACACGATTGCACAAAAGAACACAAATACAGCCCTATTTTTACACAGGTCTGCAAAAACACCTGCCAGGATCGGTGGCGCTCGTTTTTCGACCTGACTTCATGTTCAAAGGTTAACTACGGTCGCACCAGGGCGACTGCGTACCTCGATGTGTTTTTCCTCGTTGGGATACGTGTCCACAAAGATCCCCAGGCCTGTGAAGTTGTCCATATTTCCAAACACAGGACCTGAAAACACAACAAGGCCACGAATCACACAAAAACGTACTCAACATTAAGCACTGAAATTGTTTAATTTACTTAGGCTCAACCTTTCTGCATGCGCTCTTTAGTGTACCAAACGGCCAGCCCATCGCCGTTCAGGTTCTTCTTGCCTTGTCCGTGAATTTTAAAGTGCACCTGCATCTCCCAGTCTTTCAGATGACACGGCTAGAAAACAGAAGTTCACTGACGTCAATAAAATGACTACATTTTTACAAAAAGAAGCATAGGAAAGGCAAAATAAAGTTAGGATTTCTTTGTAAAAGTCTATATATTCTAAAAATAAACAGATATTTATATTTCTTTTCTGGAGATTATTGCGTTACAGTAAACTGAGATGATGGATAGTGCAAATCTTAAAAACAGATTTAAGGAGTTTCAGTTAAGACAGGAGGGGAAAATGATAGGAAGTGTTGGTTCAAATTTAACAGGATTACAGCGAAATCACTTTATATAAATATAAGCAGACCAATAGGTCTAATTAAAGGACACTGTGTGACTATATTTGCGGGTTTTATGTATACAAAAGTAAGTGTTTTAACAGCAAATTGAAAAATAAACCTTTGACATCAGTAACCTTAAATACGTGAGGGCAGCAACGTGTCCAGCGTATACTCACAATGCGGCTCCATACTGCCCCCTGTCTGCTCTGCATGTCAGGTGTGAGTCGCACCTGGTCTGTGGTTACCATGGCATCCCCCATCAGTTCCCAGTGGGAGGAGCCTAAAGATCCCACACCTGAAACCACAAACATCGCTGGCGAATGTAAAAGCTGACACAGCTCGTTTGACATCAGTCATTCAAAAAGAGCTGTGTCATCACTAAAACCACATAAAACAGATGAAAATGGCCTAAAAAATTAATGAAAATACAAACGATTCTTAAAGATAAAATAAACCTTTCTCTGAAAGACATAAACAAAAATGCAGGTTGTTATAATTATTCTAAAAACATCTGCCCCCCATCCTACCACACTCCACGGATAAGATACCTTGGTAAGGCTTGGAGAGGGAATATTCCCGCTTCAAAAATTCTTCCATTTCGTGGTCATCGTCGCCAAAACATTCGTTCAAAGTTACAAAAAGAAAAACTAACGTGAAAAACATTTTTTTAGGCATTATGTATCTTCTGACAAATGGTCCTTTGGAGTCGCAGCACTTGCTGGTATCGACGGCAACCATCGAGGGTCAAAATTCATCTTCAACCCATTACAAAAGCCTCTGCTGTGCTTCTATTGGTCAACTGGGTTGCAGGGCTCATTACCATTGGTCAGCTTGAATGTCAGTCAAAATACGCGCTTGTTATTCGCGGGTTAGGACACCACATTTCCGCTCGATTTTGACGCCTTGTCAGCGTTAAATTTAGCTTATTTTTTATTTACATTTTGTAATTCATTTAAGAATATGTTGCAAAACAAACGGTTACAAAATAAAATATCATTAACACCAATGGCGTCATAAAAGGATAGCGAAACCACGTGCTGTTTGTTAAATAATTATTTTATCTTCCCGAATGCTTCAAGTTTCGTTGTTAATGAATGCAAATAAAAAACATACAAAACAATTTCTTGCTTTTTGTTGATATGCCCTGTTTGATGTAGCAGCCAGTCGGATGCTGTGAGGAGCACGCCCACTTCACTGACCCCCGTCTCTGTCGGATTTCCGAAACTCCGTTACATGTATGAACAACACCTGGGGTTCAAGTAGCGTGAAGTATGGATCACAGTGAAGAAAAAACAGGCAAAGCGGTCGATATTTATCGCGACACATGGGTCCGCTTCTTAGGTATGTGTTTCTTGGTTTGCTTGTGGTGGATAAATGTATTTTGGGTTGAACAGAGCCCGAGCAGAAGCCCCAATGTGACACCGGAGATGTGTGTGTGTTAGATAGCTAGTAGGATGTAGTTAGCATTATGCTAACTTCCCTTTAAACCGTGTATAAATAGAAAAGTTGGCAGTGGAAGGACATTTTGTTACCAGAGGACATACAAGCAAAAAGTCCTGAACTGGGTAGATGTTTGATATCACTATGTTCTTACATAATATGTCCATGTTTAAATAAGAGTAGCCTAGTTGTTGAGCAAGTTCAGTCAATGACTCATACAGACAACCACGAAACAATTGATTTAACTCAAACTGCAACAGGGTTGTGATGACTTCTTTGCTGAAACAGTAGTGTTAGTGTATTTCCCTCATATTAATTAGTTATTAACAACAAACAGACAGACAAACAAGAGGAAAGAGCAGCTTGTCTATCTGAAGGGCATTCACTCTGCAGCAGTTGCTCTTTTGAGTTTTGCCTCTCCCACTTGTTTCTAACTTTTACTACATTGTAGCCTAATTATCTTTAAGGACTGTGTACACAGAAAGGTGGGGCTGTTCTGTTTTCACTTTGTAACTAATTTCTGTTACACGCAGATTTCTATTTATATCTTGTTTTGCAGGAATAAGTCTTTATAAATATTTCTATTTGTCTCAGTTTGCTATTGGATCTATTTCGTTGTAGTTACATTTCACAAAGTTGCACATAAAAGTTGCATTGCAAAAAAAAAAAAAAGCCAATCCTAAAACTAGCACTTTCATTTTAATGTAGTTTAATTGTATTCTTCTTCTCAAAATTACACACACCCTGTTGACCTTATGTTTTAGAACAGGTCATAGGGTGCTTTTTTATTATCTTTAGACATGCAATTATCCACATTCAGTCCAACAATAATCCCTGTTGCATAAGTGCATGTAAAGTGCATCTATTTTGCGTGGCAAAATAGATATCTCTTTTCAGATTATTTTGTGTGAGTGAATTCACAGAACTAGTTTTCACAGGCTCTGTGTCCATATGTGCATTTATTACTGAAAAGAAACGACTGAAAACAATAATGTGTGAAAAGGGACATTCAGAATAAATGCTTAAAAATGGGACAGCTGGACTGTTTTCTTGTCGAGTTTCTATATTCTAATGGTCAAATCACACTTTCTGCTGCACCGCTCGGCATGGGTTCTCCTCTGCGACAGACTGTGTGCAGCTCAAAAATAAACCCTTTGTCCTTCTAGAGTTGCGTAGATTCACCATTCCTCTTGCTTGAAACACATCAGCACAGCTGTCCTTGAATGCTGTTTTATAAAACTGCATGCTGACATGTTTCCAAGAGTTTTGTGCACAGGTATCCAGAAACTGTCTTTGCAGACTGTGGCATCATGAACACCTAAATCTGTTGGAACTGATCCCTTGTGTGTCTTGATTCTGCTTTATTACACCAGCCTCAGATCACTGTTGTTAAATGACGCCTCAGGAGTCCACTGCTGTAGGAAACCGATATGTTTGTTGTCTTGTCTAGTCGTCACTTATTGTTCTGGGGAATGTGCAACCTTTATCTTCTGAAAAACGTTCTCTCCCTCTTTTCAGTGCTTTGTTTTTTTTATTTCTCTCATTTCTGTTCCTCCTAGCCTTTCATGCAGTTTCTCTCTAACAAATCTTCACAGAAGATAGTGGTGGGTTTTACAGCAGCTGGAAGAAACTCGTACCATTCGTTGTTATCCTACACCGTTATACAAATAGGGCTATTATCACCTCAATGAACTCTCCAGCTCCAATTGGGTGGTTATTCTCACTGTTACAACATGGACCTGCAGGGACTATTAACATTTATTATGTCAGTTTTATTATACCTTACTCTACAGGTTTGATTTTACTTTATTTCAGTTTCAGTCTCAGTTGGCTCGGTAAAGAAAAGGTTCAGAGTGCAGTACATGGCATTTCAGAGGGGTTGAGATCGCTTTATTCAAGAAAATCCAGTAGCATCATGACAAACAAAAAAATAAATATTGTCAAATCAAATAAATCATTGAATGTTCTGCATGACACCAAATGAACACATTATTTAGAACAAGAGAAAGGAGGTTTAACTGGATCTGTGTGTGTGGAACCCCACAGGCTACGCCAACGAAGTCGGCGAGTCCTTCCGCGCTCTGGTTCCAGTGAGTTTGGTCTGGGCCACCTATGCTGTGTCCACTGCGTACGTTACTGCTGATGCAGTGGATAAAGGGAAGAAAGCAGCTGTGGTGAGATATTTCCATTTGTTTTGTGTTGTTTATAATATTGGAAATTATAATCAAACATTATTTTACACACAAAGGAGATACACTCTTGAGTAAAGTATGCCCATGTAAGGAATACACAAGTAAACACTTTTCTTTTTTTTAAATTAATCAAACCAAGTGAGGCTTTGTATGATTAAATTAAAAGAAAATCTGCACAGAGATGTTATTTTATTAATTCTCCGAGTTTGTACAAAAAAAAATCTGTTTATTCCTCCAGACCCACGGGGACCACCCGGGGAAAACAACCCGAGTCGCCGTCGCAGTGGTGGACACGTTTGTGTGGCAGGCCCTGGCCTCTGTCATCATCCCGGGCTTCACCATCAACCGTGTGTGTGCTGCATCGCTCTACCTGCTCGGCAGAACCACCAAGTGGCCTCTCTCTGTTCGCAAGTGGACCACCACAGCAATAGGCCTAACTGCGATCCCCTTCATTATCACCCCCATAGACAGGTCGGCACAACTCGTTTGTCCATTGCTTCCATCTGTAAGATTTCAAGTAGTGATCAACTATCCACTTTATTTTTTTACAGAGATATGGAGTCAATTGTTGTTTATTTTGTGTGATACTCCCGGTCACTGGCTTTCATACTAACTTGTCACCGTATTCTCTATTTTTAAGGTATTACTGTCTTTGATGTCAAAGTTTATAGAAGACATGGACAGATTATAGTGACAACTATAAACTTTTATATTTTAATATCTTTTTTAAAGTCTTATTTTAATGTTAACAATATCCTTTAAAGGGTCAATATCATGTAAAATCAACTTTTTGAGTTTTATATCATGTTATAATGTTATACTCTCATAAAAAACATGCCCAAAGCCTTGCTTTGACTCATTCATGCATGTTTGAGAAATCCTGCAGCGTTTTTAGGCAGCCATGCTGAAGAGCAAAACGACAGGTGGGGACCAGAAACACCTCTGGGATGTGTCTGTAAGCCGAGCTTCCTCAGGGCAGACCCCCCCCCCCCCCCCCCCCAAACAGCTCAGCGACTCTGGCAGGCTACTGCTGAAATGGGCGTGACCAAAGTGGTTGGATTTTCTTAAAGAGACAGAGACCTATTTCAAGGCGTTTTGAAACTGTCAAGATGAGAAGTAAATTGTTTTGGGGATTTTTACAAATATATAGCTCTTTCATAAGCTGAAAATGTGACATAGTTACTTTATTTTAGTAGAAAATTGAAATATAGGCTTGGAAAGCACGTAATATCGCCCCTTTAAATTAGTTTAATCCCCAAAATTTAGCACTGCTTTCTATATTAAATATACCTAAGCAGCATTCTAATCACAGCGAGTCAACAGTTAGTATGTTCTTGCACTGAACAGATAATTTATTATCCTACCTTCCATAAAACCACTGCTGCATGACTGCAGGACTTCCCCTGACCCGCAACACAGGAGCACCCGGCCGTCTTACTAGTGCCGGTTGAAGAAATGAGGATCCATACAGAGGGAAAGACAGACTTGCTTTGGCTTGGTTGATCATCAGCCTTCATGAATGCCAGGCTGACATTGTAAATAAGAATTTCTTCTCAATGTTTTGCCTGATTAAATAAAGGTTAAATTAAAAAAAAATGTATACCAGGACATTGATATTGTTACTGATTAATATCTTTCCAACTTTTCCCCTGCAGAGGTACTGACACGCCTCTGTACTTTTGTAATTGCAGGTTGTAGACCCATCCACACCATCAACACAGTAGTTTGAAATGTCGTGCGTTACACAAGGCCATTTTTTCCCACATCATCCTAACACTGGAGAATAGTTTGTCTGGCGCTGACTTGCCACTTTGATTGTTCAGCAGTTTTGTTTTGTTTTTTTTTTTGGAAATGTTTCCACGACTTATTTCACCAGTTTAGTTAAGCTGCCATTCGTTAGCCCCGGGAAGCGGTGAACCGGAAGAAGTGCTACACAAAACCCAGAAGTTGGACCCATATTTACTTCCTTGTTTGAAAATAAGGTGGATACTGAAGTCTGAAAATATGTTTGGAAAAAAAAAAGACTGTTTGAAAGCATCTTTCCTCGACAAAACTGATTGGAAAAGTTGTTTTATTTAGTTTAACCTTTTCACTGCCTGTACTTCACAGATCAGTGGATTTGCTGCTCGACTCCAGCCTCCGGAAGCTGTATGAAGGGGGAGAGAAGCACAAATAAGGACAGAGCATCTCTGTTGGGGACCACCTGGACTTTTTTGTTAGTTGTTAGAGTTGTTAGTTGTAACGTGTAAATGAGACTGTCATGGAGCACGCTTTTACCCCAGTTAAAATCTATAATAAAATAGTTTTGGTACAGAGATTAAATTTTTATATAAAAAGGTTAAGGTTGTTGGGTGAAACTTTGCTCAATGAAAGAATCCAAAAGATGCAGGATTTTAAACCTCAGGGTACTCTGGGTTAAATCACCAACAAAACAAACTATAAGTCTACTTATTTTGTCTTAAAAAATCCTGCTTCTTTTGTAGGGTGATATAATAGTCCTATATTCCTGTGATATTAGAGGCAGAGAAAGCCTCTTGAGATTACCTTGTTGGTCTGTTACTCTGACCTGCAGAACATCTTTTTTATATGTAGACATTAAGGCGGTTGTGTGTAAATAAAGGCACACTTGGTTGTTTTAAAAAGCCAAATTCAGTGTTACTGTAATGCCAAAAGGCCACTCTGCCATGGTCTCTAACACAGTTACAAATTTGATTTTGATAGGAATTTTTTTGTTTAGAATCAAGAGTTATCTGTTATGTGGAAATAGAAAGGAGCAGTAGTTGAGTTGTCATCTGATGCACCTTTCAGGCTTTAATTCAGATTTAGCCACAGAGATTTCCACTAAAAGCCTCTATTACATCAGAACTTATTTTTACTATGCACTGCACAAAAGAATGTACAATACAGTAACTATGTTAGTAGTTTGAGATATGCATGGCCCATGTCAAAATGTTTTGGCATCATGCGGCTTTACATTTCTGAGATGATGCAACATACTCCACACAGTATGTGTATTTCATTTGTGTAAGATAAAACTCTTTGACTCTTCTTTAAAAATTATCCTGTGGGTGTACAATATATCCATAAATTCCATGTTTTAAATTCAGTATTCTTACACATTAAACATAATTGTGAAGTCCAGTGTCATCAAAATATCTAGATACTCTCACTGTAATTTAGAACTATTTTCTGTGATGAGCCGTGCTGTATTTCATACAGAGCTATGCAAAAAAATATTCTGAGCACACTTGAGTTGTAAAAGACTTTTAAAAAAAATTAAAGTATGTATGTTCATATTCATGAATAAATAAGATATAGCTGGTGATTTGTCACATAGAGATAGCTGGGAACATTAGAAGTCAACATTAATGCTAGTTCACTTTTTTCAGTCGTTTGTGTACTTTGTTTTTAAAAGCGATAAAGGACTGTAATAACTTTAGGTTTACCAAACACTTCAATTGCTTGTTAGCACTTTTTTAAGTGTACAAATAGTATTTTATGTTTTCACACATTAAGTATCTTGTATATTTTGCATGACTTTAGGATTAAATTGAACAAAATAGGTTCACAGGTTTTCCTGCTAAAATGTACGTTTGCCTTGGAAAAAAAACCATGGTGCTTCTTTTCAATTTTATATTTCAAAGGAATTTCAGCAGTCGTGGTATAAAAAGGAAGGGTTTACTTTTTTAACTTATGCATGACACTGAGTGACACTCTTTTAACTTGTTTCATTGCTATAATTCATGTAAAAATTCAACCTAATTGTCAAGCTTTCATTTAATAGTATGGACTCATACAATCCTGGTTATTTCTGTATATTTTACTTTTAAAACGGATGTAAAATAAAGCATGAAATATTGTGATTCTTGCTCAGTTTTATAAATAAAACCAAAGATGATCATCTGGCTCTTTTTCTCTACAGTCAACAAAAAGTCACAATAAGATGATTATGAAGGATTCTAAAACACCAGTATCTGTCAGTATCAATCAACAAGAACACCTTTCCAAATGACAACATTATCTGAGATAATCAGCTGAAGCAGTCCTGTCTCACAGGGACAGGAACCCAGTCGTCCTGATTGAGTCAGAACACAGCTGATGCCACTTTTGCTGATGAAGACTAATAAAAAGCAGAGGAAAAGCAACAAACCTGCTAGAGACAGTCATGTTTGTGCTTCATTTAGTGCTTTTGGCTTCTTTGGCCATCCCACGCGTTCTTTCAGGTAATCATAAAATCAAGTGTCCAGTTTAGCTGCTTTTTTGATGAAAAGCTTTTGTTTTGTTGCTTTTTATACATCTTTATTTTTCTTGTTTTTCTCAGACGCTCCTGTCAATGGCCGCTGGAGGACAGATACTGACATTCCACAGTATGATGAGACCCCAGATGATTATGATGATGACGACGATGATGATTCTCCTTTACTGCAACAAAACCTGTTTCCTGAGAACTCAACAGGAACACCCGGACCAGTGACTGTAGAGGTCCAGGATCTACAGACCACTCCAAAATCAAGTCTTCTTATGGGTGAAGGTGGGACGTTACATGTTCAATGTATGATGGCTTTAAATTTATTTTAAAAATAGTTAAACATTTTAAATTGACTTTGTGTTTTTCTAGATCTTCATGACGTTCACGATTCCAAAGTGTGGAAAATCGTCCTGGTGACTGTCATCCTGTTGATGTCTTTAGTTGGTGCTCTTGGCACAGCTTACTACATGTGTATCTGGAGAGGAGGCAGGATTCACTATCGGCCTCAGAGGGTGTACGCTTGAATAAAGTGAATGTACTAAAAGTTCAACTTGAATCTTAAGGCCTTTTCACACACCTGTGATGAGTCTTTAAATGTTAACATTAAAACCTGTTCTTCAAATTGTAAATATAAACTGTTAAAATTTTAATTAAATGCCAACTTGTACCATTGTGTTGTCACGAGGCCTTTGATGGATCTGGATACTGCAGTTCTTGAAACCTTAAAGCTCTGTGTAAAATCTTTATAAATTCTCAATGTAGGTGTTAATACGGATATCCAGTCTGAACTGTTTTGTAAAAGATGGTCGACTTAAATTGTTTGCTTACATTTGTATTTAGGTGACTGCTTGGGATCTTGTTTCCCTTGCAATTCTACTGGCCACTAGATGTCACTACATTCATATCTAAACTTTAAAATATTCTACACAGCAACTATATTTCTATACAAATTCCTGCCAACCTGTCTGATTTCACGGCCCACACCTGCCAGTTTTTATTCCCTCTAAATGATTGTGCTGACACTCAAACCTTCAAAATGATGTAAATTTTTATTTAATCAAGTAGTGGATCTTTGGCAAACTGCCACAAAACTGTTTGTGAAGCTCTTGATGGTATTCGTTGCCCAGAAGATATAAAACTGCCTAAACAAGATAAATAAAACCCTCATTGTGTCTAAATCTTTCCTGTCTTCATCAGGTAAATCTTTGACAAATGGCATTTTTCCTAAAAGGATTTTCCATAAATCATTTTGAGTCTGAGTTTTATGACCCTTTTATCAAATCTCATGTCTTCTAAATCTGTACTTCAGGGTCTAGTTGGGAGCCTTTTGGCAAGAGTTTTCCATTTCATGTGAATTCATCTTGATCAGAGATGTGGCAGAAGTGGCCGTCAAGCTGCTGGCAAAGAAAAAAGCAGTGTACCGCTAAGAGTAGAGGGCAACATTTTAATTCGGTGTCGGGCAAGCGAGCACAGATCAAATTCACAAACGTTTAGAAGTCGTCTTTGAGCAATATCAGGTGGCATTAAGAGGGAGGGGAGGCAAGGAGACAAAAAGCTGATGAATTGAATTAACCTCCCCCGCCGTGATGGATGGGCCTGTTCACAGGGGGCAGGAAAATGGGAGCATTGTTCATCTGTCACTCCAATTGCCACGTCCCCCTATGATTTGTGCCTGTGTTGTGAAGGCCACAAGTGGTCAAAAGACCTCTGTTTCTTTAGCTCACTTGTCTTTGTTTTCTTTTTTTCTGGCCTCCAAGAACTCCCAGGCTTTGAATTGGACTTATTAACCCCAGCGATATCCATAAAGCCAGATGCAGGAATAAAAAAACGAGTAAACATAAATGTCTGTCACTCTAAGTGTTTATATACAGCTTGAAGGATTATATTTTGAAATGTTGTTCGTATTAAAATGAAAGACCCAACATCACCCGCTGCCAGAGTTTTAATTTGAGAAATCGAGGTGCAGCTGTTTTGGTCAAACCTTAAAAATGTTATGCCTGATCTCATGTGATATCTCAAGAAATCACGCTCAGAGTATGTGTTGGGAATAATTCAGCTACTTTCTCAAATCATGGTTAAAGCTGAGTCAAAGCCTTGTTTATTTTGGCCAATGTGTATTAGCTGTAGCACCGGTCTCAAATTGGATCAGCTCCAAATATTAGACAGTTGTTGATGCACACCTAGTGATTATTTCCTGAAAGTTTCATTAAAATCGACACAAGGGTTTATCAGATATTTTGCTAGCAGGCAGCCAGAGATGCCTCCAAGTAGTTAACGTCAAACTTAAACGAAGATGTTACTCAGTCTCAGCTTTCACCACATTAAATCGTAAAGTTAAAGTTTTATTTATTTATAAAACACCCTTCATACTAAAAGCAGCTCAAGATGCTGTACAAAATTATACACAATAAAGACACAATATAAAAACAATACTATAAATCAATTAATAAATAAAGATGACTTTTAGGGTTATTTAGCTTAGGCAGCCATCTTCAATTGGGTTGACTCCAAAAGTAAATTTGTAAATATACAAGTTTTCTTAATGTTCATTCAGTTGTTCATGAGATATTTGGATTGCAGACACAAACAAAAAAGGATATAAAGTAATATGAAAAAGCAGAATACATTAAATAAGACAAGTCGACACAAATGCATTGGAAATATCAAAGAAGCTCCCATGAAAGTGTGTACTCAGCTGTCTGTTTGTTAAATGTGCTTTTTTGTTACAAGGTTATATTCAAACTACTGGGACCTGCTGTCAGATCTTATGCACATTATTTCCATGTAGAAGAACAGAAAAAAAGCCATTTAATATTGTTTGCCCCTCAGCTTTACTAAGGTCCATATTTTAGACATACTATTCAGAGGATACTGGCTTTTAACTGAAATGCATGTTTGATCATTATTTTTCATGTCTGTATTTTCTCAAAAAAAGGAAGTCAATTTAATTGACTCTTGTGATGAAGGTGCTTAAACATAGAATATTGCGATGCACTAAAACAGATGAGCACAAGAAGATGAAGATGGTTAATGGTTGTTTTGTGCTAAATGGTAAAATTAAAATGATAATTTGTAAATTTCTTGGGGGGGTTTTCCAACTCTATCAAGTAACCAGAAACATGGGAGAAAAGGATAATAAAGAGGGCTAAACAAATAACATAAAAACATGAAAAAGAATCTAAACAGAAAAAGACACATAAAGGGATCCATTGTAGAAAAAAATCCTCTCTAAAGAAAATAAAATAACTTAATAAAACATTTATACCAACAAACAACAAAATCCCAAACAATAAAAATGTGCAAGTAAGCACAGACAAATCCCCAAAATACAAGACAAGAAAAAAAAAACTGCATGCAAACAGATGCAAAACCACAATTCACACCAAACAACTGCAGAGGAGCACTGGAGGAGAACTAAATGCTGCAAAACAGCTATAAACTACTTAGAGATACAAAACATCCACAAAACAACCATAAAGAGCATAAAGAGCATCCTCTGCAGCTGTTCTGTCTTTCTATGCCTCTTTGGATGAAGCTTTTAATAACTCTGCATCCCAGTCTGAGTACAGGTTGATGTGAAGGGAGATTATTTTACACGTTAGATTTTAGAGCAATACTTCTTTAAATATTTCATTCAGGAAAACAAAGGTGAACTCTGTCTGCATAAAATCTGCTGCTAATCCATAGACGTTTGAAAGGAAACAAAGAGGTGTATTTATTAACTATTCTAAAAGTTGCTGCAGGAACAACATGCTGACATCAGGGTTCTGGTTGTATAAATAAATCCAGTATTTGTCTGAATGCTGATTTAGCATTCACCCTCTTTTGTGTGCTTCTATATAAATATATAAAGATTTGTTTGTAATCTAACAGCTATTTATATATTGAAACATTTATCTCATAGGTGCCATAATGTTTTTCTTTTTTTGTTTTGTAATTTTCATATTTTTCTTTTATATATCTTTTCAATTCCTTAAAAAACATTGTTCTTCTTAAAACTGTTATAGCAATTTGGTCTGTCATTGTTTTTATATAGATTACTTTTGTTTTTCAGCTACTTTTTTAGCAGTTTTTTAAGACCACCTTTTACTACATTTTTCTTTTACCTATTTTGCTGCCTTTATTGAACATTGTTTAGTTGGTAGTTGGCATTTTACCACTTTTAAATATTGTGCAATTTTTTGCCAGTGTTTTTTCTACTTTTAGGCAGCATTTTGCTATTTTTCACTGTACTATTTTGTGCCTTTGGACTTTTTAGTGTTTAGCTCTTTTTTAGCTACGTTTTGTAATTTTAAACTTTCGTTTTTGGGTTTTAAGCTTGTGTTTGCTGGTGCTGCTGGAGGTTTCTTCCTGTTAAAATTGGGGTTTTCCTTTCCACTGTCACCAATGTACTGCTCAGGATGGGAGACTGTGGTAAAGTGATTTAACACAATGTGTTGGCTTCCTTGGATTTTTTGGGCGGCTGTGGCGGAGTGGTTAGGGGAGTCGTCTTGGAACCGGAAGGTCGCTGGTTTGGTCCCCTGTCCAGCCGTCTCAGTCGTTGTATCCTTGGGCAAGACACTTCACCCACCTTGCCTACTGATGGTGGTCAGAGGGTCCGGTGGCGCCGGTGCATGGCAGCCTGCTTCTGTCAGTGCACCCCAGGGCAGCTGTGGCTACAGTGTAGTTTGCCATCATCAGTGTGTGAATGTGAGTGTGAATGGGTGAATGTCTGTTAGTGTGAAGCACTTTGGGGTCCGGAGGGACTTGAAAAGCGCTCTATAAGTTCAGTACCATTTGTTAACAGTGCTCTGAGACAATATCATGTTGTGACTTGGAGCAATATAAATAAACTGAACTGAATTAAATTGAATTTTAGCCAATTTTTTGTAACTTTCAACTTTTTATTTTGCATTTTTAGCCAGTGTTTTGCTTTTTTAGTTAGTGCTTCTTTTGATTTACCACTTTGGGTTTTCAGCTATAGTTTTCTCTTACTTTTAACTCCTATAAATACCATTTTGCTTCTAACTTATAGCTCTGTGTGTGTGTGGTTGTAGTGGTTTATGTTGTGTTGTACTTCTTCAGCAAGTTTCAGCTGTCGTTCAGTCAGTCATATTTCACTGCATTTTTTTCAGCATAAAATGCATTTTCTCTCAATGACTTTCTTGCATTTGACTTTTTGATA